CCAGGCCGCAGGCATGGACGGATACCAGGCCAGCCGACAGCAAAGCGAGGCAGTGCAGAGGCAGGCCGAGGCGAGCGATAACAAGCCAGCCGGACATGACAAGCAGCTGAGAGAAGGCAGGGTAATGAGCCAGAAGGATTACAGCCGAGCGCGACAGAACCCAAGACACTTTTAGCCGCGGTGCCGCGCAGGGAGACCTTCCGGTGTCGGAGCAGGATTACACTTGGCGAACGCTAATATTATGACACGTTCTCTGAGCGTGTCGCTTCCCCACTCCGTTTCTTTTTTTATTCCGTTTCCGCTAGAGCGAGGACAACTCACACGCGGAATGGCACTGCGAGCTTGTTATAAGTACTACCGGTTAAAAAATATAACACATGTAGAATATGGGTATCCTGAGTGTTACGACGCGTTTTATATATACGCATTCAATACAGCGCTGCGAGCCCGATGCAACGGAGCGCCCTTATCCAGCAGCTTGATGCCAGCTGTGATAATTACTCTTACTTAAGCGGAAAGGCTTCTGCGTGCGCTCTCTCATCCCCTTCTCTCCTCTCTTCCCCTCTCTCTCTCTTCTCTCTCTCTCAACTCTCTCTCGTCTCCTCTCTCTCTCTCTCTCTCTGCTCTCTCTCTTATCCTCCCCCCTCTCTCTGGCGGTTACCTGAGCAGTTGTCAGAACTTCATCTAGCTACGCGCGAGAATGCGGTTTACCACGGGCTGTGAATTGCTCTCAGAGACGTTCTCATTACAAATATAAATCTACTGAGACTTCTCAGAGCAAATCAGGATTCGAACCCAGAATCAATGGTTTTGGAGTCCGATGCTTTATCCATTCGGCCACTGGGGCGGTATGGTTACAGAGACATGATTAACACGTTGGAGATGTTAGGCTATACGCACCGCCATCTATTGACGAATAGAATTTTTTTAAATTTTTAACTTTTTAACTTTTTTAAATTTTTGTTTCAGCCAGAACGATCTCCCAGACGTGGTGATTCTGAATATATCTTCAGTTTTCCGCTAGGCTACGTAGTTCTCTAGTTATGCGCGAACAGACTAATTCGGCTGAATAACTTTATATATATAGATAATATATATACTAGCGGGATACCCGGCGTTGCCCGGGGAAATCAGTGGCATTACTCAGTTGGTGACCGCTTGGTTGAAAGGAAAATACCCTAAAAAATCTAACTATCTATCTATCTATGCATCCATCCATGCATGCATCCATCCATCCCATTCCATCCCATCCCATCCCATCGCACCGCATCCCATTCCATCCCATCCCATCCCATGACATGCCATCCCATGCCATGCCATGCCATCCCATCGCACCGCATCCCATCCCATCACACCACATCCCATGCCTTGCCATGCCATGCCATGCCATGCCATGCCATGCCATGCCATCGCATGCCATCCCATCCCATCCCATCCCAAACAGTAAAAAATAATAAGACATTCAAAATAAAAAATAAAAATAAAAAAGTAAAAAAGTAAAAATAATACATACTAAAGAGGTAGGTAAAAGGAAAAAATGAAAAAATGGGAAAATAAGTTCCCCAGCTGGGACTCGAACTCGGAATCTCGGTGTAGGAGACGGATATTCTAGTGATTAGGCCACTGGCCACACGCCCACACCGTTAAGGGTATACATCAATTTTTAACTTTTTTGTTTCAGCCAGAACCACCTCCCAGGTGTGCTGATTCTGAAAATATCTTTAGTTTTCCTCTAGGCTGCGGAGTTCTCTAGTTATGCGAGTACAGTTTCAAAGATATCGAATAGTCTGTTGCCAATGATACTGAATAGAGGGTTTCAAAGATATCAAATAATCTGTTGTCAGAGATACTAAAGGTGGGGGTTGTCAGAACTACTATAGGACCGTGTGTCATCATATATTTACTAGGACCATGTGTTGTCATAACTAGTTGTAACAGGTGAAAGTGTCCGGTCGTTATCCGGGGGGGGGGGTCGTTACCTGCGTAACGAAAACAGTCTGTAAGGGCTTAGGTGAAGCATTGCTTTATTAAGCTCAATATCCTCATATATATATATTTGCACGTTAGGGAGTGAATTCTAATATAGCCAAATGCATTTCCCATGCCAATAACAATCAACATATAACTGAAATATGTCCTTGGATAGCAGAGATATTGCAAAATCATGGAAATTGGCGGCCATTTTGGATTTACGCAAATTATACAAATTGCCGTAGGAGGATTTCTTAGGACTTTCAGTATGTTGTTCTGGAGACTTCACTGAAATGCACTGCAGTGAAATAATTTCTATTGCTTTTTTTCACGCTCAAATGCTAGATTTCCTGGACTAATATAATCACACACGTTACCGATGCATTTCGAGACCCGCTCTCCCAATGTTACTTCATAATATTATGTAATTTATCATTAAAGGCTATATACTGGTATGAGAGACTGACGTTGAGTTTAATCCATGTATCAATAACCAATAATCAATGGTTGCCTGCCTCTATGCAACTGTGTTTGCGCACGTTTAGCGTCCTGAAACAATCCTAGGAATGCAATAACCTATTAAATGCCATAACCATTGCAACCCCAGTTGCGACCTATGCAATGCCCTAAACATTGAATTTGATCTTGCATCGAACCACCACCTCCCGCGATCCTGGAGTGAAACTTTCACCATGCGAATCCCTACATACATACACGCGCGCGCGCACGCGCACACACATATTATCAAGAGCTAATAATACTATAAGGTATTATTAGCTCTTGATATTATATATATAGTATACTAGCGGGATACCCGGCGTTGCCCGGGGAAATCAGTGGCGTTACTCAGTTGGTGACCGCTTGGTTGAAAGGAAAATACCCCAAAAAATCTAACTATCTATCTATCCATGCATCCATCCATGCATCCATCCATCCATCGTGGCGTGCTGATTCTGAAAATATCTTT